TTTAAGGTCCTCGAGTCACATCTGCGTTCAACTGCATTGCCTCACCCTTCAGAGTTTCGTTCAGTTTTTATTGAGAGAAACAACCATGATCAAACTCCTTTTCTTGGCGTTAGTTGCCGCGACGTATTTGGCCAAGGGGGGCGATCTCAAGAATCAGAATGCACCACAAACAAGTCAGCGACAGGTTATTCAAGTGCTAATAACATTTTTCTGTGAGCTGGCCAGAAAATTAATTTTAGGATCCTTCGATCAGAAAATGTAGCGGTCTTTTTAGTTTCTCAACAGAGAGTGTCTAAAGCATTCATTACTGATTTATTGGACATTATTATATTTTAATATTAATTTATTATAGAGTTGAGCTCGTGCAGATTAACTGTATTAATTTCGTTTAAAAAGTTTCAGTGTAGTGTCATCTTTCACTCGCATAAAAGACGAACCATTTCTCATCTTCATTCAACATCTTTACTCAGGGATTATTTTCAATTCTTTAAGCATTCTTGCCATCCGGACAAGAATGTAAAATCTGCTCCCCTTTCTCTTTGAAATTAGCATCATGCCACGTGTCAGTGTATAATAAAGGTTAGATCTTCCTCTCAATACTCGAAAACTTCTATATATACATGTATTTCTTTACTTGTTTTAGAACTCGATTACCATTAATTGACTTATTACAGTGGCTAACGTTTGTTGGTTTTCTTTTGTTACTTAGATACTGTTCTATCGGTATTTCACTCCCATTAAACTTGCAAGTGCTGCTACCTTCATCCATTACGACCATTCCCTCACGCCCCGAAATCTCACCTTCCTCGGCACTCCTAACGCCTTCTCTCGCCTGATGATTGTTCCCCTGATCCAGCCAGCAGTTACCTCTGCAAATGCCAACCTTGTTATCAAGATGAACGTTGGCTTGGAAACAACATTTGGTGCAGGAGGGAGAGATTTTTCATTTGTTATTTCTGATGGCAGTCGCTCTATTGGCATGCTTGATAAGAATTACTACAATGGTCCCTGTCTTGGCATCGAGGGAGCCAGTGGACCAACTATGAGTCACCGCCGTTCAGGTGCTCCTCGCCCCATACCATCTGAATCTTACTATCCCGGACGACTTGAGATCCAGTTGAGCCTGTCTGACCGGTGGGGAACCTGTTTTGTCCCGTTAGACGGAGGCTTCAGCAGAGAGATGATCTACCAGAACAAGCTGAATCCTGGCAACGGTCTGTTCCTGGAGATTTACGGTACCGGAGGACAAAAAGGAATAAAGTATATCGAGATTACAATCCTTAAGGAGATGTAGACTTATCTCCGTACATCAGTTCAATACATGTTGTAAGTTTTTGAAAGTAATGTAACCAAGATATTTAGATCAGTAAAAACACCAATAACTCAACCAGCAATTGTATTCAGAATCGATTTTTCTTTATCTCATAATCTGGACTTCGACCTAAACCCTGCTAATACCGATGTTTATATGAAATAACTGACGCTATGACACTTTCTGTGAATTCAATTCAACCATGACTAGCGATCCCTTCAATTCATAAACCTGGTACTCTGTGACCTAGCATTTCACCCTGCATAAAAACAATTTCTTCCCTGGATTTCATTTCTCAGCTATCTTTTCCCAATTTTTACTCAGCAAGTGCGGATTTGGCGGATGACTACGTCCAGTGTTCGACATTCATGCATTTATCATAATCTCAGGGTACGAACTTGTCACCTAACAATTGGGATCATCACCAGCCACATGCACACATGTGAATTTTCTAAACTAGATGGACTTGTAAAAACAGTTGGGTGGCAAAATAACTCCCTGATTTTGACGCCAGATTTAAGGTTGTTTGTGTCAATAACAAAATTCTCGAATCTGATTGGTTCTCAGCAACCCTTGTATCTAAAGGTAATGGGACTGACTTGAGTCCAGTCTCCGGCGGTCTGCAATCGTACAAGTGATAAACAAAATCGGACGATCGCGTAGCAGAAGACCGATTTTTTAATCACGAGTATGATTTTTTCGAACCAATTGGACGACACGAAGTCCTGTCACCGATTAATCATAAGCATTGCAATTTCCGAGAATACTATGCATGTATTCCTTTTTGTGAAAGAGCTTTTAATACCAATTATCCAAAATTAGGGAAACTATCACGAGCAGAGACACTGTCTAATGTTACAAATTCGTCCATTTTGAAAAATCCCCAATTTGGTAGGGTAAGTGGTTGTTGTTATGGTTATTGCGATAAATTCTGTGATTGGTGGATTTAGCTGAGTGCACTTAGTATGACTGGATGATGTAACTGTCTTATTACAGCCAACTGTCTGATTACAAACCTACACAATAATTAGTGAAAAATAAAGCAGTTAATTCACCAATTAAATTTGAGGAAATTGTAGTGGTTATGATAAATTGCTTAATTTGGCTGATTTAGACCAGAACTGTCCAATATTGACCTTTCCGATTAGACGTTGCTTGTAATCGGACAGTTGAACAGCCGATAAAAAAATAGACCTTTTTTAATAGTTGGTTACGTGATCGACTTTCTGTCAACATGAAAACAATTCTGTTTGGAAAAGTAGTTTTCGCTGGAACTGTACGATCATATAAAACTTAGGTAACCTATAAATATTCAGCCGAGTATCTCAAGTGTTGCGATTGCAATGGCCGCCGAAAATTAGAAGGATTTGTATGGGAAAAAAAAAGGTGACACCAAGTCAAGGTTGAGTGGTATTTCATACAAGAGGTCACAGAGCCTTGTAAGACTTGTAAATTTGGAAATTTTCAAGGTGTCCTAATATCTGTCCAATCTTTCTTCCTCTGAAACCTCTTAATTCTCAACTCTAAGCCCTCGTTTAGAATTAATAAAAAAGCCTCTCTGTGATGAGCATTATAAGCGTGCATTTTAGACCCTGTTTACATGGAGTGGGGGACCCCGGTCTAGTGGGGTAGGTTTCTTTTGTTTTGTGTCCCCCAGAGCGTGAAAACAAAAGAAACCAACCCCACTAGATCGGGGTCCCCCACTCCATATAAACAGGAGCTTAGTTACCTTTTTTGGGAAGACCGAGAAATGCGCATTAAAATAGAGAACTTAGGTAGGGAAACAAAAGCATATTTACATGTCAGGGCATTTCAAGACGCCGCCAACGACCAGCAAAAGCGATTTTAACGGGCTTTTTGTCGAAAAACAGCCGCACTCTAGGTATACCATTCATTTACTGCAACGGGCTGAAATACAAGAGGGACTGATTTTTACATCAAAACATCGTGTGCATAGAATTAACCAAAAGCTTATGTTTAATAGAAGCAGTTGCATCTTTGTCATCTTTCTTCTTTCAGTATGAAGAAATACTGATCACTGACACTAAGTCAAGAGAGTGCAGCCGGTCTTTTTAGGACTTTCGTAGCTAAAACTTTGAGGTACATTGATTCTGAAGCGTAACATTGCAATGTTTATCGAATTAAAGATTTTCCTCCTTGAAAAATAACTGAATACTGTTACTGCTGATTGCCGCGTTTAAGTAAGAATACAAGGAAAGAAACATTAAAATAAAAAATTGTGGTTGATTTCGGGTAGCATATTGGAAGACATTTAAGACCGGCTATCAATTTTGAAGAATTCATATATTGTGCGTAAGGTAATTAAATATACTTACTCCTTTGAAAGTCAGTAGGATTTAGTGTTGACTAGAATGGGGCGCCGAAGTTGCTTCTAGCTATCTTTCTTGCTGTTTTCTTGGGAATGAGTAAAAATGAATAAAATCATTTGATGTGCTAGACTAGCTAGTATAACAGAACTTTGTCCTTTCCGCGGCGATAACTAACAAAAACCTCCTTCTTAGTGTTCTTGAGCAAGGAGGGCCCAAATGTTCAGACTATTCAACTATGTCAACTAACTATCAACAGGTCAAATATGCAGATTGGAACAGAATGCAAGGAAAACAGTTTAGTTTCGCGAAGAGTTTCGATAAAGGACGAGGCAAATACGGAAACTTGTGAAAAATGTATTTATTATCAGTCATATTGTCAGTCAGAGTGAACACAAACGTGTGGAAGGCCCCAAAAGTGCGCTCGCCTGAAATATAATCATCTTGATATC